GAGCACCAAGCATCGTTTCTAAGGATCTGGGAAAGGGCTTACCTTTGGGCTGCCTGAGGGCATGGTAAACAGTCACTCCATAAGGTCTCATGGAATATTTCAGACTAGTACATTAGCTTCTTTAAATATCTTATCAAAACAAAATGACATATTAGACAACCTTTTTTTTTTTTTTTTTTTTGAGAAAACCTTTCTAAACCAAGCTGAGCACCAAGCATCGTTTCTAAGGATCTGGGAAAGGGCTTACCTTTGGGCTGCCTGAGGGCATGGTAAACAGTCACTCCATAAGGTCTCATGGAAGACCGGTAGTACACTTGTGGATTTGTCTCTTTGAACTTATTTGCCTTCATTACAGCCATCTTTGTCCAATCAGTAAAAAACAATTGTTCTTCAAACAAGCTTATTCCATACGGATGTGGAACCAGGGAGCCTCCTTTAACTATTGTCTGCCTGTTACAAAAGATAGGTATCTGTTACAAAAGATAGCTATCTATGTATACAAACACACATACATATAGGTTTTGCTTTGATTACAAAAGAGTTGGTTCAATGAGCTGCCTAAAAAGATCAATATTGTCTTATAAAACATAGAATATATAGAAAATATATTTTTTCTATATGTGTATTTCCACCAAGATTTAATAGGTGTCATCTCTTAAAAAGGGTTCTTGAGACTTGCATTTAACCCAGTCAACTCTCTAACTTTTTCCACGTCTTCTATAAACCCTAATGTACCCTTCATTCCTTTCCGGGTTGCCTCACTTATACAAAGGCTAAGATGTGCAACCACATTTTAGACTCCATGGATGAAGGCGAGTAACCTGGGTATGGAAGTCAGGTGCCCTCCAAAATTACTTCCCACTATGTTATTGACACCATTTCTCAGCAACTAGGGAGCTGGACAATAAGTGTGGTTGAGTTCAACCCGCCACATGAACATTGAGCAAACAAAGAGCTTCAGTGGCACAAAAGGTGAACATGGCTCATTAAGATTAGAGAGCGGCTTTATTTCTTTTGATTGTTCCTCCACTTAGCAAATCCCAGAACCCCAAATGCCACCTGTTAGTAAAGCAAGAGGCAATGACATTAAGATGTTAGCTGTATGCACATCTTTGATGTTTCTTCACATCTAGCAAACCATTTAAATCTTTCCAAACTCTACTGATTTTCCTCTTCTATGTTTTACTTTAACCCTGGCATGAAAGTATTTCGAAAATATAATGTAATGACAATGAAAAAGAAATTTAGGGGATTTGGCAATTTTTAAAATACAAAAAAAAACATATCGGGTGGAATAATATTTTTCTCATTAATTCTTGTTCTTACTACCAGGACCACTTTCGGTGATAGAGTTAGACCCAAATCAACTCATTTAACCGAGTCAAGATTGGTCTAAGAACATAAAATCTGTGACATACTGTGCTGTCATCCTTATAAAATGGAAATAAAAAAGAATACAGAGTCATAATAGTCCTTTCATAGAGGAAATGATAAAATCAGATCATTTGGGAAAATTAAACTGGCCAATCTAGTTACTGAACTCACAACCATTTTTCGTGGCTAAAATTTTAAGATTATACCTTAATCAATTTTTTTAATATCAAAAAGAGACTATCTACAGTCATTGACTCTAATGAGACCTAGTAGAAGATGAAAATATGCCATAGTCTACTTTCAAATATTGCTGCAAAATGCAAGAAGTAAGAAATTCTCTTTGAAATCTGAAATACATTAAGGCACAGTAAAATTCAATTACTTCGCTTGGATAAAATGATCCTTGGAAAGGAAGCATAAGGGAAGCCAGAAAACTATTTAGATTCTGAAGTTAATGGAACGTCTGTGCTCCATCTGGGGCTGGGAGAAGAAGTAAAGGGGATATGGTGGAACAAATGCTTTAGTGTAATCCTTGGTGTGGGTTATAGGGTAACACATAGAAAGCTCACAATTCTCAGTTGGCACTTCATGGAAACGTCACCACAAAGGTCATCAACTGTGATGTCCACCGAAAAGCAATCGCTTAATTCTGGTCCTTTCCACCTCCTTCTCCATCAGTTTTATGCAGTTTCCCAAATGCAGAACACCAGGAAAAAAAGAAAATTTTAGTGCTTCCTACCTCTGAAGGCCATCATAGGTTACAGTCTCAATGTAATCATATCGGCAGTCAACCCAGTAAACACGCTTAGACACCAAATCCAGAGTTATCCCAGCAGGCCATCCCATCTTCGACTTTATCAGTTCTCTCCGGGCACTGCCATCCATGAAAGCTCTTTCCACTGTAGGATTCCCAGAAAGACTCGCCCAATCTGAGAAAAATAGATAACTACAGAAGAAAAAGAGAGGATGAAGTGAATCTGTTATTTTACCACCCAGAAACTATTTTTTCAGATTGTATATTAGAATTCATGAAACTCTCCTCCAGCGGACGAGAGAACCCTGGGGCAGAAGAGCCTTAAAAACAACCACAACAACAAAACCTCCTTTCCCTTCTTGAAGATCTTCCCTCTTCCCTGGCTCTTGTACTCATTTCTCTGCTTACAATCAGGAAAACGTGCAAATAGTACATTTCCTCAAATGTAGTGATCAGGAAAGTTTACATTCAAAATTGAAGAACAGTAATTGTTCATACCAGCTAGCTGGATGACTCACACTAAATAACTTGTCAAAAGATATTAACATTGATATTCAACCCCAATATAATGAGACAGAACAAAAAGGAACAGGTCCAACCGATTTGTATTGAGACATCATCAGAGTGAGACAAAAATATGATTCCGTTGCACTCACACCATTAAGTCCTAGCAAAGAATTTGACATCTCAATCAAATGCAGTAAACCCTAAGAAGATAATCATCTCCCCAAAAGATGGTTACTCTAATGACCCCAGTAGGTGTGCTTTGTTGGTGATGGCCAACTACTTTACACTGCTAGGAACAGGCACCGAAAATGAACATGGGTTCTAGAAAGCGGAAAAGATATCAGAATTAGCCTACCATTCATCCAACAGATGTTGAATGTACATGGGATGGGATCGGACATATCCACATCACTTACCCCATAGTTGGGTCCACAGCAATTCCCCTGGGATGGCCCAAGTTTTCCGTGATGAGGATAACCCGGTCACTTCCATCTAGATTTACCAGATCAATGCGGTTGACTTTGGTCTCCACTATATAAAGCTTATTATTAATCCAATCCACAGCCAAGTTCTCTGCAGCATCAACAGAAACATTGAGAACTTCTTGGATGGCAAAAGTATTCATGTCAATTGAAAAAACCTGAAAATAAAAGCAGAACGATTGTAATGAGTAAGCATAACTAACTGGGGACATTTTCCTACACGTCATTCGATATACCTATCCTTTTCATTCTTTTTGAAATATATACAGAAGTAAATCTATGAGCTGTTTCTGTTCATGTCTTTTTCTTTCAAGCCTTAATTTCTCTCACTAGAGGCGCCCTGGTGGAGTAATATTTATCCATCAGGCTGTTAACTGGGAGGTCAGAAGTTCAGAACCCCCCAAAAAAGGAAATTCCAAAACAAAAAAAAATTTTAAGTTCGGAACCACCAGTTGCTCTGAAAGAAAAAGAATAGGCTTTCTAGAGGAAGGAAAAGAATGTTTGGGAACCGATTGTGGTAGCAAGTGTGCAATACTGCTGGATGTGATTGAACTATGGAATGATGATATATGTATTAACTCCCAATTAAAACCCTTTTTTTAAAAAAAGAGGTACATCATGGGACACTCACAGGGCCAGTTCTACCCTGTCCTATGAGGTCACTGATGAGTCGGCATCAACTCAGTAACAGTGAGTTTTTTAAAAAGATATCCACTATTAATTAGTATGTTATAAATTGTATAAAATATAATTCAGGACTCAATGCCAGTGAGTTATTATTAATAAGACAAATACAGTTGAAATAACTTTAACATTAATAATAAAAAGGCATTGTATATGGAATTTAATATGCAAGATCTCATTTAGTCCTCAAAATAACCCTGTGAGGTCACAGACAGATCACAGCTTACGGATGAGGAACCAGGTCAAGTAACTTCCACAAAGTCAAAAGTCTAGCTGGCGCTAGACTCAGGATCTGAACATGGGTTCAAGGTCTGCCCTTGTAACCAGCAGCCTAGAGACACACACACACACATTTTGGTTTTTTGTTTGTTTCTTTTTATTTAAATGTCTCACTCTTTATTGTGAGTTGGGTGACAGTTTACAGAGCAAATCAGTTTCCTGTTCGAAAACCCTAACCCATTATTGTTTCACGTGATTGATTGCAATCCCCATAACATACCATCACGTATCCCACTTCTTCCCTGTTTCCTGTCTCTTTTCCCTCTTTCCTAACCCTATGGAATGTTGTCTTTAGATAGACGGAGCCTTTTTAAGCTCAAATGGCTGGTTGTTCTATGGTGTTTGTCTCCCTAATATTATTGTTCCCTTTACAGGCCTGTCCATTGTTTGGTTGAATACCTGCTGAGTTCACTTACAGACCTGAAGAATGACCACGGGTCATCAAATAAACAAACAAAAACCACCAATCTCGTTGTCAGTGACTCCACTCCAACTCGTAATGACCCTAAGGTAGAACTGCAAGCCTCTGTTTCTCCCAAGAAGCGCCTGGGGGTTTTGAACTGCTCATCTTGAAGTTAGCAGCTCAAATCATAACCAGGACGCCACCAGGGCTCCGGCATCCCACCAGTCTCCATCTAACTAGTAAGTGTGGTCTTTTATTTGAGGCTTTATCTTCACATATTCTAATGTGATCCCTTTCTGAGCCGTTGGTAGTGGTAGCCAGGCACCATTCAGTTCTTCTTGGTCTACACATGTCTTCAGTTTTCTTTACTCCTCTTTGCTGCAGACACGGAGATCCCAACAGTGGCATCCAGATGGCCACTCAGAGGCTTTTAAGACCTCAGTCGGCTGTAGAACACTGTCTGAGCCAAGGGATCTTAGTGTCCTCCAAGACCAGGGTCCTAAGCCCCCAGGCCCAGTGACTCATTCCCTCCCTCAAGATGTTTGGTTACACACATCGATTTTGGTTAAAATATTTTTCATGGCCTACCAAAAAACAATACAATCTTGTTAGAGTCTGTGCACAACCAGTCCACATTGTAAATCTGCCCACATTATAAACCAGTCCATATTGAAGGTAAGAAAGGCACTTAAGATCTCTCCAATGTTCCATCTGTGGAACAGATAAGGGATCTGGTGAAAAGTCAGTCTTGTTCTATATTTGGGGGCACTTCTCAAAACAAGAGGTGGCTGTTAAAGGTTTTAGATGGCTGACATTTTAGACTCGGTCTAGACTCAAGAAGGTCTTCTAGTCAAGAAAGAGACCTAAGAAAGCCGCTATCACAGAAATCAGACCGAAAGCACCACCAATACCTCCCCGCTCCTTATCCCTCCCTGGCCCAGGGGGAGATGAAAGGAAAACTTTATTAAATTACATCCTCCAAAGGGCCAGCGGGGCCCTTGAAAGAAACCAAAGTGCACATACAGAAACGTGGTGCTTGGCCTCCCTTCCCTCTGTTATCCTAGCATTTTGCACCACCATCAGGAGACCAGGCAGGAAAATCCAGATTTCTAACTCTTCCTTAAAATGGAAAAGAACTGGCAATGCCAGGCCTTCAACACGACGAGTACTTGCAACAGTGATCAGGAGTGTGCAGAAGTGGATCCTACAGATGGAGCAAGGCTCTCTGCTTCCCACGATGGCCCCCCTAGCTATGTTGCTGCTTGAACAACCAGCCTATTTCTCTCACTATCAAGGTACACCTATAGATTTTTAGGAGTGCAATTTACAGCCTGAGAGTAAAAAAGTACCTACACTCTAGGCTAGCAAGTATTCTGGCCACAGGAATATTAGAGACAGTATTTCTTTTCAATCCTTGGAGCATATGCATTTGTGGCACTGTCTTTTAAGTTGCGTACTCCGGTGCAGTTCTTATATTAATGTTGACACACATAGTATCCCTATCCAAACGAGGAAACTAACTTCTAAATTCAAGAATGACAACGTGGCATCAAGAGGGCAGCTCAGTTCTGTGCACGTGGTTTCCTACAAAGGTTAACAAAGGAATGTGAAGTGTTTGGGGCAGAGGAGATGATGGAGGTTTGATGTTTAGCTGTAACCACATCAGAAAGCCACCTGCTGCCTCGATCAAGTCCATTCTAACCATAGCGACTCTCTAATAGGACAAGGTAGAACTGCCCCTGTGGGTTTCCGAGATGACAGCTCTTTACAAGAGTAGAAAGCCATCATAATTGCTATTAATGGGTGCGTGTCACTGAAATTAAAATTGTAATAGTAATACAAGGAAAGGTAAGACAAACCCATAATGAGGTAGGGGTTTCTAAAATTTCTTTTTAGAAAGCCTCCTTGCATTACTCAAAATTGAAATTACACCCCTCACACTTTCCAAAGGAGATAGTGTAAAATGAAATTTTGGCCCTGAAACAAAATGTTGTCAATTTTGTCACCAGACCCTCAATTATAGCTCCATTTTAGAAGATGCAAGTAAAATCTGATTTTTATCATCCAGGAAAGCCATAGTACTTTTTACATTTTGAACGATCAAGTTTCAAAAATTACTACCACCTATCTATCCAGTTTTGAAAGAATGTCTACTATTTCTTTTAATTAGGCTTTTGGACTCCATTTCGAATAAAATTAAAAGTTACTCAAGGCTTATCCATATAATAGAGTGCTTTGTTTAATAGGGCACATGTAACAGTATAGCATGGAAAAGGTGCTGATTAACATAAAATATCTCCAGGGCCTTTTTTGTGAGGAAACAAAGGAACGTTCCTCTCTGCCCCCCCAGAAAGAATGCCATCAACACTTGTGCTCAAGGCTTTATTCAGCTTCCAAGACCCACTCCTGAAAGTCCCATTTACCTTATCTTGCACGATGTCTGTCCAAAAGACCCTGTGTAGGCCATAGTGAAAGTCCACGCCCACCGCCACTCCTCGATGCTCAGACTCCACCAGGACCTGGAAACTCCTTCCATGAATATCACCAATCAGCAAATCGCGCCCATTGGAGAAGATCACAGAGGCCTGGGCCGCTAGATGTGGAAACAGAAGGCATGACTACTCTCTAAGGTGAGCAAGGACTATGAAAAAGCATTCGAAGGCTTCCCCAATGTTATCTTATTTGATGTTTTCAGTGTAGGTATCATTGTACCTGTTTTACAGATGGACAAACCGAGGTGCCAAACCGTGTTTAGTGATGTGTACAAAATCACAGTGAGGCAAAGAAGCTGAGCAAGAATTCAAGTTTCCTGACTCTAGCTATGCACTGTCAATGATGCTGAGAAAAATACGTCAGGTTTTTGCAAAAACCAGACACCTTATAACCACGTGCAGTTTAAAAAACAGGACATGTTTTGTGGATTACAAAGAAATAGCACTCCCAAAAAAAGACAAGTCCAAATCTACTCTACCTGTACTCTCACACACTTACAGAATGGGTTAATACTTTTCTATGCAGTCCTGTTTGCAATGACAAAAGACAGTCCATCAGTAGGAGATGAGTTAAATAAATCACATGCAGCTACAAAATGAGATATTATGGCACTACAGAAAAGGGGACAGAAAGTTCTCAAAAATATATTGAGCTTAATTAGCAAGGTGAAGAGTTGTGCATGTAGTTTACTACCATGTGTAAAAAAAGACAGGATACAATAATTATAGATTCTTATCGAAGAGGCTTCAAAATGTTCTTTTTCCAAGAACTTATTGAAAGCCCCTGGTTCTTGGGAATAGATAACAGAATTTTTTCACAAACGTTTTGAAGCCCCGTCGTAGAAATCACTGTACTTATTAAAAATCAACTGCACATAAAAGGTCGTACACAACAAATTAGATATTTCTACTGCAAACACACTAAAAACTGAAGATAAAGCCACAAAGTGGCTTCACAATCAAGGGTGAGATAACAGCTGAGAAAAAAGGAGTAAAAATAAGGCTTCTAGGCCCAAAATCTACAGTGACAGATTTTCCCCACGCCTTCCCTCCACGCCAGTCATCTTAACCCAAGTCAACATAACATGCACAATGAGGGCATGGCACCTCTCTCTTTTTTTAACCATTTTATTGGGGGCTCTTACAGCTCTTATAACAATCCATATACCCATTGTATGGAGCACATCATTTCACCTCTTTTAATCCGAATTCAGTAGGTCTATTTTGAACCTCTCCTTAAGTATTACATCAATATGCCAAACATACTGGTAAGACTAATCCTCACAAGTATTCGCTTGGGTATTTGTGTGCTGCATTTGTGGTGCATCGGTTTAACTTAACACGTAACAAGCGAGTCCATTGAACAAAGACAACAATGTCTTGTGTACTGAATTAGTTGGGATGGTGGCGTGATAGGGCAGGACCAAAGTGAACCAGCAACCAATGTATACATGCCTACTAATAAAGGTCATCAGTGAGCCACAACCCGGTCTCTAATAACCAAAGATTTAAGAATCAAACGAATGTTGGTCCATATTTATTAACGGCAATTGAATGCCAGGGACCACTCCTGATCGGTGATGACAGAAGCCGGCCATCGGCATCCATGCAGCTATTTTGACCTTTGCTCTGGAAGGCGCAGAGGAGGCAGAAGACAGGTGTCTGTAATGTACTCACAGGAAGTATGAGCTTTGCAGTGCCGGTTCCGCTCCAAGACATAGCCTTCTGCACAGCGACACTGGTGGTGTCCAATGCGGTCTTCACACATTTGGGCACAAATGCCCCATATTTGACAATCATCATAATCTGCCACATGGGAAATAAACATTTGTAAGCATGTTTGTCAGCATTTCCAGTCTACCCATGGACAAAATTCCTGATCTAGATGCGTAGCAACCTGGTGATGCCCAGGTCTAAATCAGCATCCTTATTTCTCATGATTTGGGTGAAAGTTTACGAAACAAGATCTTTTTTCCTCTCAACTGCTCACACAAATTTTGTTTGGGGACATTGTTTCCAACCCGCTCAATGCGAACAACACTCCTCACTTCCTCGCGACGTCTGCTGCGTCGAAATCAGTTTTGAAGTCTGTATGAAAGATCGCTTTATGGAAGGTGCAGCACATTATTTGAGTTCACGGCCCCATGGCGTTGCAATTACATTTAGTAATGGGGGTTGACAGATATCTACACTTTGGTATAAACGTTTCCCATCAAAACAGTGCGCTCTCCTGTTGTGCACATTAGCCCCGTGTTGTGATTCAAATTAGTATTTAGCTAAAATGGAATAGTTAGGCTAAAATTTAACACCTTATTTGTTTTTCCTATGGACCCACTTTTAATTTTTTCTACTTTTTTATTATTTTCTGCTAGGATAGGTGAATCCACAGAGACCATGACCATAGTGAACTCCTGGGTCCGCTTGTCCCTCCACGCCAAATATAACATCAACATGGAACCGTGTGATTTTCTTTCAAGCACTGTGATTAATCAAAGGAAAACATTCATCCAATCAGGAAGTACCAAGGTGTAAAGACGTGGTCATGGACGGCCCTGATGGACCAATCTCTTTTGTGCCCGCTCCTCAGCCCTGGGAAAGCTCTACCCAAGGCTTCGCCCCAGTAGGAATGAAAGTACAGGACATTCGTTCCTTCAAACCCCCAGAATGTCATGACCTCATTTTGAATGCAAGGCTCAAGAGACGGTGATTAAGAGTGCAGAGTCGCCGTGGGAGCAGGAGTTCTGAGGTCAAGCAGAAGGACAACCGGGTGGGGAAGAAGTTACATAACTAGAATTTCCTGAGTTCACGCACTTTCCCTCATCTGGGCTCTAAGAACTTGAAAGACTCAAATGATGACAGAAAAGCTCTGCCACTTTTAATGACTGATTAAGATTCTATCCTGAAGGTCACTAAGTCAAAAACTGGCTGCAAATTAAGACCCATCATCAACTAAAGGACAAGACGAGTAAAGGACGCCAACCAAAGCCAAGAAAAAGGAAAGTAGAATTGAGTGTTGGCAGGAGAGGAGGGAAGAGCGGGGAAACACTGCTTTACACACCATGCAGTCCCCACTGCCTTTCCTTCATGTTCTTTCTCACTCCTACCAGCCATTACAGCTTCAGAAATAAAGCTAAAATACCTTTGAGGGGAAAAAATAAAACATTAATCTTATTTAGCTTAGACCTGTTTGGACACTCTCTGAAGGGCCTGGTTATAGGAAATCCCACCATGCTAAATAAAGGACCTTCCTGCCTTGGCTCAGCACCTCGATGCCACGCCATCAACAAACAGCATGTCCTGTCAATCAGACACAATGAAGGTGCTTCAGCAAGCCTCAGAGGTTCCACTGCCAGGTCAAGGCTATCAGAGGCAGACACATGGTAGAAAGACACAAGATTTTATGTCAGGCTTATTCAGCTTTATTCCTGATCACCCACTGAGGCATTCGCCGGGAAGCCAGGTCCTCACTGATCAAAAGTGCAGAGGGTGTCCTCCACCTGACGCCTCCGAACGAGCCAGCACGCGGAGGAGGGCGGTATTCGTTAGCTTGCAACGCTTGAGAGAGCGAACCAAAACAGCAATTTCCCAGGAAGCTCAGCTGAAACAAGGGTAACTAGTTTCAGAATGCCACCCACTTAAACTAAAGAGTTCTCGTGTATTAAGCTGAGCTTTAAAAATGTTCACCTGGCTTCAAAACTCAGGGGAAGATGATACTCTTGAAGGAACAAAAAGTCACAGAAAAGGCCCCACGCATCCACAAAAACTCTGAAATGTAGATTTTCAAATTGATCTCCAAATGCCGGCTGTCTGCACGGAGTCCTAAGCTCCTCTGTGTAGGCCGGAGAGCAAAGGTTCGTTATCAAACTTAAAACCTTTGCTCTCAGCACTTTAAAACTAAGTGCATCTGATGGTCGCCCAAGGAGAACCCCAAGTTCAGTGGGTGGTGGTGGTACAGGAAAAATGACATTTGTGAAATGTCACCTGACTGGTGTATTTGAGAAGTCTATAGCTTAGACACTGAGATCTATTCCCTTATGGTCCAAACTAACAGAGGACCTATGAAATTCAACGTGTGCGATACATAATGGTCAAGAAAAATTTGGAGGACTGAGAGATGGCTATTATATTCAAGCCCCGTGTGCCGTTATAATGTTTGATGTAACCTCAAGGGTTGCTTACAAGCATGTGCCTAACCGGCTTAGGGATCTGGTTCGAGTATGTGAAAACATGTCCATCGTGCTGTGTGGCAACAAAGTGGACGTTAAGGCAAAATCCATCGTCTTCGACCGAAAGAAGAGCCTTCAGTACTATGACATTTCTGCCAAAAGTCACTACCACTTTTTAAAGCCCTTCCTCTGCCTTGTAGAAAACTCATTGGAGGTCCGATCTTGGAGTTGGTTGCTGTGCCTGCTCCTGCCCCACCAGAGGTTGTTAGGGACCCAGCTTTGGCCGCACAAGATGAGCATCATTTAGAGGCTGCATAGACAACCGCTAGCTCGGATGAGGATGGTGACCCGTGAGAGAAGGAAGCTGGAGTCCAGCGTCAGAGTCTGGTTTTACAGGCAACTGTCCTGTGATCTCACTGGTGCGGCGTGCTTGCCTCTCTTATTGCAGAGCTCAGCAGAAGGTGCTCATCTCTGGGAGACTGAAGGAGATGAATGGGCTTCGGAGTGAGTGCGCAGTTAAAATCTCTCTCCCTTTTTTTTTTTTTTTTTTTTTGCCCTGCATATCTAGCTGTTTGAGAACACATTTTTCTTTCTTGAAATTGAAATACAAGACTGCTACAGTCGCATCACAAAGACACTAACTGCATCGTTACAGTGAACATTACTCCCACTGTGTGCTAAGAACTGGTCATTTTATAAATCATGACATTACCTAGTGCACGGCAAAATACTGACACTTTCCAAGTTGCACCAATTAATAACCATAATGTACAAATTTCATAACACAATAACCTCATGATGACAGATATTTTTTTACACTACAAAAAAGGTGAAGTGTCCCGGACCACTGATGTTTGAGAAGCCTTTGGCGCTTGAAAACACAGCCCAACGTTCAGCACAAATCTAGAGCCTGGAAAAGATGTTGGAAATGTGCTCTCGCTGTTTGGGGGTACAAACATCATTGAGAACAGGTTGTGGATCATCCCCAGACCAGAACTAGGCATTCTGAAAGAGCAAGTTAATTTTGTACTGAAAAGATTTCTTTGCCTACCACACGCCAACTTCAAGGCAGCCCCGGTGCCAACTCCTCTTTGGAAGCTGGGAGAGAGAGCGAGAGGAAAGCTGATGTAATTCTGAGCATGTGTCTTCTGGCATTTCTATTGGAATTTCTTTTCGACTAAGAGAAAAGGGAAATGTCCAGAGAGCTGAGAGAGCAGGGATGGGATTGGCAGCTGGCTGGCAATAAAGGCGGGTGGAGGGGACTGACATTTGCCTAAGACAAAGGAGCAGCTTCACACTCACAGATGAGCACCGCTTGGAGACAAAGGAGGGATGCTGCCATTGCAAGGGTGCCAGGAGACGCAGGCAAGGGTGCCAAGGATGAAAAGCCCGCTAACAAATCAGGATGTTCTTCTGAAAGGGTTATCCCCGAAAGCATCCCAACCGCCATCATAGCGGCCCATGAATCAGGAAGCAACGTGGAAAAGGTCCTGCGATTCTACTAGATGTCACTTGCGGATCATAACGTTTCAGTTACAAGGTATATGTAAAGTGATTCAAGGGGCAAGGGGCAGAGTTTAAATAATTCAATGTGCTCTCTGAGTTTCCAAGATCTCTGGATCTGGCATACATCAATCACTTGATTTTCACATATCAAAAACAGAAGCTATCGTGGGCAAATGTGGGGTCACAGTCCTGCTATGAAAACCCTAACGCTGTCTACTTTGAACATACGAACTCAGAGTTCAGAGCTCTGAGCGAGTTCAGTCAAGGCTAAAGTGAAATGTAACGGACCCGCATTTCTAAAATGTGGGTGTGTTGGAAGAATTAGTGAAATGGGGGGGGAAAATGAACAGATTTTACCACCTATACCCTGCTGGAAACTTTGTCTCCCTCCTGGAAGAGAAAAGCAGCATGCACATTGCACAGTAACCCAATCTCTTGACCAAGAAGAGCTGAAAACTACGACGCCCGGCTCAAAGACGCAGCCTACCAGCCACTTGGCGTGCGTCTCACATCCCATAGTCTTGGCAATAATCCAGTCTCCTGAATCAGGATCCTTACAGGGTCTACGGAGCCTCAGCCAAGTCTCCCATCCAGAGCGTGAAGCGACAATTTGTCCCACTCGCTAATTGTTCTAGTAGATCCGCCTTTGACGAGTTCAAGCCTCTTCTATTTTTGTTCCTTCAGTCATGACTGAACTGCTTCAATCCAGCTCAAGGTTCTGCCTCAACTGGACTGAGTATAGAAGTCCAGGTTTTTTTGGCACGACAGATAAATAGACCTCAACAGTATTGAGGAGTAGATCTCTCAAAGGTTCTCCATTTAATTGGCTCATTCCTGGTGCCCACATTTTTGTCTAGTTACGAGTAATAACGAGGATCAGCCATATTTGGCAAATTAAAGCCACAAGTTAGGAGCGGAGAGTAAAGGCGGAATGCATTCACTACTTTTATCCGAATTCATTTGTTCTTTGCAAACAATACTATAGTTTAGCAATTATTTGAGAAGAAATACTTTTGCAAAAGCATTTCTTATGTGTGCTGATTATTTGGTATCGCTAAAAGGAACAACCGAAAACGTGTTGAATTGGCAAACGTTACGTGGTATGTTTTTACAACAGCCAAGAAATAAAACTGCTGCTTGTACCTCATGGGACTTGCCTTCTTGGCTTACCTGTTCAGAGTCATGGTTTTGTGGCAGTGAGATTTTTATGTCAACTCGTACTTGAGGAGTACAACCTGTCTGTTAGTCAGCACACAGCCTGATGATGCCTCCTGCTGTGGCCTTTTTTTAAGAGAGACACTGGGGACCCCTCTGCTATCTCTGGCCCTGGGCCTTCCTGCTTGCTGTGATTCTGTGCCAAGCTCCAGGGGTGGCCACCCAAGTCTGAGGGCTGTTGGCACCCTGCCACGTTTCCACTTGGATCCACATGATTCTGCACCCATCGTCCTATGATCTTCCCGCATTCCACTTCTCCTTCCTGCGTCATCCTGCAGCTAGGTGAGGCCGGAGAGGGTTCTGGCAATCAACTGACCCGCAGATGTAAGTTAGACTGGGCTGAGATTCCTTCTTAACATAAGATGACTTCTTGATCTAACGCTCCTTCTTATACATACCCGCTGGCTTTCTTTCTATAGGCAACCCAGCTCAACACTGGTTTCGTGCCACAACCCAGTGAATTAGCCTATTACTGTTCTTAGAACTTCTATTCTACCTACTAACTCATTGTGCAGTATCTGGAATCTGAACGGTCACCCAAAGTACTATTGGTCTCTATGCACCTGGAGCAGCAGAAGAGTCAGTACACAAGGGAGAAGCTCGAATGTATGTCTATCTGATTCCATGAACAACTGCCTTCTTTACCATGAGACCAAGACTAGATGGTGTCCAGCTACCGTTACTGAACATCTGGATCAAAAATTCTATAGAAGGATCCTGATCAAAAGGGAGAAAACACAGAACAGAAGATTCTAATGGAATGCATTTTAGGAGTCTAGATAGAGCCTAATGTTCTGTGATAACTAAAATTACCCACTTGAAAGTCTTTCTTAAACCAAACAATAGCTTAATTAATTAGTAAACAATGTCTGACTTGCGTAGTGTGCTTTTTAAAATAGAATTGTCTATATTATCAAATTGATAACAGCAATTCAAAAGATTAAGTGAGAATCTTAGAGAGCAGTGAGTTTATATGTTAATGTGGGTGAATAATTTAGAAAAGGATGGGGAAATGACTGCCCAACTTAAAGAATGTAAACAATGTCAATTAATTGCACACATAGACCTTGTGGAAACTGGTATATGTTTTACTATGTGTATTTTCATAAAAATAGCATTTTTTTAAATTTACTAAGCAGGAAAAAAACTAGAAGTCAGAATATTAAAAATTACCACCTTAAGTAATATTTGGCCATGTCTAATTCTCCGCTGATACAACTTCATTCTAAGCACAGTTGGATGCAAAACTGGAGCACATCTGAATCAATATCAACAATTTTAATCATTCTTATCAATCAGATAGGAACTGTGGAGAAATAAGTGTTGCACTGGTTCCATGCCAGACAATGTACACTGGAATGAACGACCAGCACCACAAGACACTGGCACACCAGCATGGTCACTGCAGCAGTTGCCTGGTGGTCCCCTGCTGGCCTGTGGGGAGATCCAAGCATCCTGGAGGAGAGGCCAGGGAAACAGAGCAGCTGCACTCAGTGGGCTTGGGGAAGCCATTATTTAGCAAGCCCCTTAAAGAAATGTCCATATTCAATAACCAACCTGGCCCCTATAGACCCTGCTTCCAAATACTTTCAAAAGAGAACACAAAAGTGGTTCTCTATCAGCAGGTAGGGGCTAGAGTTCTTATAGTTAATCAACTCCCTCATCACAGAACCACTGTTTTTTTTACCTTGTGCCCTTCACAAAAGCTTCTAAAAGTTTTTGAAACTTGTATACGCTCAGGTTCTCTGTATCCAAAGTGAAAACTCCCTGAAGTCAGTGATCACAGAATCCACCGCAAGAGCTGGCACCCTCCGACTCGTCACTCACCGACACAGGTTCGAGAATCGTTGCTATTGATGGTATAACCTTCGGGACAGTAACAGAGTCCTCCAGATGGGGAGCTGTGGCACTGGTGCTGGCAGCTCAAAACCGGACACAAGGACACATCTAAACAGCCAAAAAGTTTTGTTGAGGGAATGAACACTTTCACGAGCTTATTTTTTCCAGAAAGGTGTACAGGTAACAGAGGAACAAGAGACCTGTCAGTGTTCACGCCTTGTGTGACACAATGAAAACCCAACAACTTGTGCGACTTGTTCATGTGTCTGTGGCGATGTGCATGTCATTAGAAACGACATTTGTAGAAAAATCACGTCATAAATTTAATTTTGCGTCTACCTTGTAGAAGGGCACAAGAATTTCCAAGGTGGAAAGAGATGAGGTAAACTTCATGAAAAAAGTCCGTTACCTTTTCATTCTATTTTTCCACACACTTTTGAGGCCCCTCCGTACTCTACAATGATACCCACAACTAGCTTCAAGGGGCAAGATTTGAGGAGGTGGTTTTTCTTTCTGTTAATTTTATTTTCTAGCTTTTGTACGATAGATGGACAGATACCTCTATCCTTTGAAAATACGTCCAAAATGAAATGCAACAAGCTGTCACAGAACTCTGCATATGGGAATAGCATACATTTTGTCAGGAGGACACATGCTGTCAGGGGTTTCAGCCCAGGAGCCTGGTGGCATAGGGCCTTGTGAGTTGGGCTGCTAGCGACAAGGTTGGCAGTTCAAAATCACCAGCTGCTCTGTGGGAGAAAGACGATGCGTTCCACTCCCTTAAAGAGGTAGTCTCAGAAAGCCACAGGGGCAGTTCTGCACTCATCCATAGGGCCGCTGTGATTCAGCATCGGCTCGAAGGCAATGAGTTTGGTTTGGGGACTTTCAACTACATGCCCATTTATAGGCAAACACTAGATAATATATTTATAGCGTGAGATTATAAACTCAGAGTCACACATTTCATTCTTACAGGTCAGTCAGGTATCCAGAAAGTTGATAGTCTACAGATGTCTACAGTGTCACACATTCACACACACACACAACCAGTCTGCTTCCTCATAAATGAGTTTAGTAACCCCAGACATCGTCTAACAGTACTGTGCATAGCCAGGTCAGTTCAACCCCACCACTGGAAAAATTTCTTAATGTCTATGAGGGAGGCTTCGAAAAGTTTATGGGAAAATTCCTTTAATTTCTGAATTCCAGTTTTCTGCAAACTACTTTTGAAGCTATATCCCTCAGCTCTCCTAAAAACCAGAGCGTCCTTTTTCATTACAGCACTTTTTCCATCAACACAAACCAAAAATTTCTCGAACACCTTTAGCCTAACCCAATCTGACCCATTTTTATTATCAAGTCTGGTTCGTAGCTACCTGACAGGGTAAAGCAGAGTCTCTGAGGCTATAAATATTTAGAGGAGAAACTACCTTGCCTTTCTCTGAGGCATGGCAGGTGGGGTTAACAGCCCAGTGTCATTAGGGCACCCAGAAATAGAGTCATCAAAATGGTCATTAAACCATTTCCCTGTGGGGGATGGGCAGGAGGGGGCAGGACACAGATGTGTTTGAAGCTCCTCTCATCTATTTTTTCCCTCCAGTCCATTGGCTCAAGACTTGAGCAAGTGACTTACTTTGGCCAATTAGGCATTAAAGAACATGACATAAGGAGAGTCCGTCAAGAAGTCCATACACTGGGGTTTGCCCCTTCACCACCCTGTAAACAAGCCTGGGTTAGCCATCTGGATTTGACACCATGTCTTATAAGCTAACACCAAGTCAACATTCTAACGAGGCAGTGAACAGGTCAGAACTGAAGAACTACCTGACCAGCTCGTAGAAATCCTACATGTCTGCTGGAATTTGGGGTGTGGGGTTGTTATGGATTGGCTGATACAGCTCTATGGGGGATCCTGTCATAGAGAAACAGAGAATCTGTATTTGAGAGTCCAAGTCCCATACTCACCACAAGATCTTCCTGCAGTGACGTTGGCCTCATCGGCTCCAGCTGGACAATCGGGAGTCCCATCACAAAGTTTTTCAATTGGGATACATTGTCCGGATCCTGGACAAGCCCATTCTCTCGGGTAGCACCTACGATTATCACTACTATCTGAGAGGGGGGTGAAAAAGTTACAGACCATGAGAGGTGGAGCTTATTTGGGTTTTGGGGGTTTTATGCCCAGTGGATCCAGACCAGATGAGCCCACAGAAATCTATAAGCTTTTATAATAACCGTCTTATGATAACAGTTTCTAAACTTCACCACTGGCCTTTAACTGAAATTCTAAAGAGTGGCAAAATGGAATGATTGGTTTCCCTCTTTCTAGGGGGAAGCAATCACCAGCCAGGGTATATGAGGGTAAGAAAGTTACTAGGATCACCTCCTCCTCAACCCACAAATCCCTAAACGCTACTCAACCCTAAACCTGTCTTTTTTACATTTAAAAAAAATCTAACAGAGAACGAAAGACAAGGCAAGTTCCAAAACCACTCACGACATCCATCTTCATCTCCATTGTCTTTGCAGTCGTCCGCTCCGTCACAAACCCAATTGTGATCAATGCATCGGCCGTTCGGGCACGTGAACTGGAAGCTCCCACAGGTCCCGTAGTCTGGAAGGAAATGGCAGCTTCACTCCAGACAGAAATCCCTTCATTCAAACTGCTCACCTCCCTGTCTGCCCTGAGCCTAGACCTACATAAATTAATCCCTCAAGTATCTGGACCACATTTTTAAAAGAAGAGGAGGAGGAGGAGGAGGAGGAGGAGGGAAAAGGAGATGAGAGCAGCTTGGGGTTCAGAAAATTAATTCAGGTTTCAGCCTCCTCTTACCCAAGATTAAAAACAAGATGGTGTACACAATGGATTGGCACCGAACAGAGAACGAAGAGGCTAACGACGTAGGGGACCGTAACATTCGTTTGCTTCACCACAAACTGCTCATGTAGGGCCCTGTCATGCTGGATCACAACGGCCATGTCTCCTATTCTCCACAAGTCACTGAAATAGGCGCCATTAAAGAAACCAGGCAGGGCTCGTTGGAAACTGGACTTAGGTTTCAAATATTTTAACAATCCCCTAAGGCGTGAGCAAGAGCCCTGGTGGCACAGTGGCTTAAGCCACGTCAGCATGCCACGGAAGAAAGATGAGGCCACCAGGTCCTTGGAAACCCTTAGGAGCAGTTCACTCTGTCTTCGCGGGTTGCTACCAGTCAAAATAGGCAGTGAGCTTGAGCGCTAACTAATCTAAACAAGTGGGGGGGGGGGGGGGGTTTAAAAGGGGACACACCCACATTCTAGTCAATAAATGATCACAACGAGCCCACGTAATGAAATTGGTAAAAGTCTCTCGTAGAGTCTCTCTTATCTATAATACCTGAGGCCCAGAGGTGAGACCAGTAAGAGAGGTGATTCACGTTGAAGACAACAGCAGGGTCAATATGAAGACCGGAGGCAAAAGGTGCCTGCACTACCTGGTGACCTCTTAAAATTTCCCTGACACTCTATATGGTAAGAACGTCGGAGTAACGAGCAGGGGAGGAGCCCGTGCTATTAGAAACCTTCCTCTCTCCCCTTTCAAGGCCTCCTCTCGTTCTATTAAGATTATCAGACTCATTCTGAGACCAGGGTAACAGGAGAGTCTGGGGATACGATATGCCCAATGCCCTGGCCCGAGGAAAGAGTGTGAGCTGTCTATCACCAGCACTGCAACTCCACACAGATCCTTGGAGGATGAACTTGCTCAGGTCCAGCAGCACTGCTAAGGGCTCTTCCCAAAGCCCCTAAATGATCTTCTGGCTCCATCCACTCCTTTTGTTGAGCAGGGTGGTTCGCTGAATCAATAAACAAGCGGGACTCCTAACCACGTGGTCCAGGAGAAGGAGATCACCGTACTGCAAGAGAGCTCATCGCTGTTGTCTCCACAGTCGTTGTTATGGTCGCAGACAAAGGCTCGAGGAACGCATGCTCCGTTGTGACACTGAAATTCGGAGTGATCACAGACTCGAGCTAGGGCACAAAGATCAGAAATTTCAATTCCACTGTCCCGGGCCGCCCAACCTGGGCCTCCCCCAAGTTGAAAGGGGGGGTTTCATTCCGGAGAAGTGTGCTGATGCGCCATGTTGTAACAACCAGTTCTCCCAGGACAAAAAGGGTCTGATTGGCCATGCTTCCCGATTTCCACGGTGGACCCGGTCTCCCGTGACTGAACGGACTGTAGCTGGACTTGGGAAGTGATGTGCCCAATGCGGGCGTTCCGTCAATAAGAACCACTGCACATTCTACGCGTGTCACTTACTGCAGTTGGCTTCATCGGAGCTGTCCCGGCAATCGAATATCCCATTGCACTTCTGGCTACTGTTATAGCAGGCGCCATTGGCACAGGTCAACTGCTCGCACGTCGGGTACCCTATTTAAACAAACAAAAGGAAAATGAACCGCCTTCAAATTAAACGTTCAGCAAATATTTCCTCAGTCAATATTATACGACTGACGCGGAAGGTTGGGTATACATGGATAGGCAAAAAAATACCAGTTCCCTGTTCTTACGGAGATTTTACTTGTTGTGCAGAGGAAAGAAACAATGAAACCTTGACTCAAAGGGCAAATTAAAAAATGTGAAAAATAAGAAGGGTCTTCAAAAAAGTCAGGGGGAAAGTGCACTGACTGTGGTGCTGATCGTGCACCTCTTCTTGGCGTGACTGAACGACTGATTGGTAAGTAGGTGAGTTAAAAGCAATAAAATCTACAAAACCAAAGATCACTTGTTTTTCCATGAACCCTGTGAAGTCCCCTCGTGTAGATGGGGGATGGGGAGCTCAGGAAAGGAGACTTTTTAGCACAGAACCGTCTCTTACCTAAAACAGCGAACGGAAGAAGCTAAGTCAACAGGACATGTGCACTGGGAAAGGCAGGTGCCCTGCTGCACTGGAGGATAGCAGAAGGGATGCAGGCCTGGGAGAGCCAGGAGAATGGAGACTTGGCATCCCCTGGAATGCAACGCAGAGGCTGCTTACTGTTCAGCAAGCTGCTTGTTCTCCGTGCCATCGCGTCCTTAACCACACCTTTGATAATTTCCTCCATTTTTCTCTTTATCACCAACTGCTGTTTAGTTCAATCTATGAGTGTTGGGAGATTTTCAATGACCAACAGGACTCTCTTCCAAGGAACTTCTGGGTGGACTGGAACCCCCAGCCTTGCAGGTGGCAGCACGTGCACACAGCAATGACACCACCCAGAGTGCTGGCACAATTATCCTACGATGCTCTGCTTTACTGCGGATCTCAGGACCTTTCAAGACTGCGAATCACTGGAAGTCATTGGGAATCATAAATGATTTTAAAAATACATAGCAATGCTGAAGCTGACATAAAGGGGGCTTTTCAGTTAAGAACTTTTTAAAAAGAGTTTTAACCATTTGCCTTGTATGTTTGGGGAACACTCTCCTCATAAATGCAACGTCTTCCTTGGCTTTGCTGTTGTTTTGCTTTTATTGTGGTTCTCGCATAGTCTTTTCAGATTTCTTTTTAGCCAAGACAGCACAGTCCCCCTGTGAAGCTAAATTCTGCACTCCAGAGCCTCATTGGAGGTCCCACAGACAGACGGATTCCTCAGATGATTCCTCGCATCTTCCTAGACACTCCATCAAGCAGGACAAGGCACAAAAGTTCTGTTTCCAAACTGTATTAACCTGTCCGGTGTTAAGAACCTACACCTTTCAAAGGATGGCTTTTCGTATTATTATTATTATTTCAAGAAGAAACAGGCTCAGATCTTATCTTCAGAAATTCAAAACTTCTAAAACCAAATAATTCAGGTGTTGTTAAATATTCAAAATACCGAAGTCATGGAACAATCCAGCACATATTTAAATGGAAGAGAAAATATAAATAGTAGGTTACATTTTTTAAATGTAACTTAGCAATGATCTATTCTATACTGAATTTTATTTCATTTTTTATTTGATTTGGTTTTTAAATGGTCTCAGCAAGTTCTAGTGCTTTAGGCTGACTGCTTTGTGTTTATCATGGCAATGGTATGCCTTGCAAATCCCCCTTCAGAGCTGGTCTGTTTATTAATGCTCCCTTCATGATTCAGGCGGCCGGTTAAGTCCACCCAGGGCTTTCCCTTCATCCCATGGGCAGGGCTGCTTCTGGAGTCAGTAGTTATCTACCTTTTAAGAGCAGCAAAACGCAAGAGAGAAAACTTCTTTGCCATCGATAAGCCGCCGATCGGGAAGTAATTTTGGCGTGTGGTCTGAGGCTCTCTCATCTAAGTGGCTATGAAAGAGCCCAGGGGCACCCGGTTAAGCTCTCGGCTGCTTACTCAAAGGTCTGCAGCTCAAACACAGCCCGAGACGCGGAGGAGAAGAGACCTGGTGAGGAGCTCTCCGCAGGGATATCAAACACCATGGAAAAAAGAAAACCCCAAGACTCCCTGCCATCGACTCCTATGAACCTATACAGCCTCGGGTCCCTGGGGGGGCAGTTCTACTCTTTGTTGTAGGGTCACCATGCCTTCGAATCCGCTCAAAGGCACACAGCTGGGGCAGATGTATTCAGGGGATCCTGTTCCCTTATCCAGTACCATAAAAATGAAAGGGAGCTACCAATTGTTATTGCAACTGGGGGGAAAAAACAAAAAGGCAATCACATTGGTGTGTCAGCCCTTGTCATAGATAAAGGATTTAGGTTACAAATGTACATGCAGTAAGACCTACCATAGCTGGCACCCTCTCAAAGGTGGAAAACCACAAAGCCCAGAAATAGATGACTATCCTGCAGACTTCTGGTTCTCACCATTTCCACTGCGTTCATAGCCATTTCCTGTACAATAAAATACTCGTTGACTTGGTGCCATTGTGCAGGGGGGGGGGGGACAAAAGCAAAAAGAACCGACAACGGCACCCACTGACAAGACTAAAAGCTTACTAACCCAACTCACCCCCCAACAAAGAACCACGCTGTCTTCAGGTCGGTCGGCGTTGATGGTCAGAGGTCAGTGTTGACCCCTCGGAGCCAAGAATGAATGATCAACTTTCTCGCCTCCACCCACTCTGATAATGAATCTCTTCCCACCAGCAAGGACTCCCATGCAGTCCCACCACACCTTCTGGTCTCTTCTGTAGCTTGCTATCCTGGAAGTACACACCTAAGAAAAGTTGCAAGAAGCTCCCTGGCTCAACTAAGTACTCCCTAAAATGCCAGGGCCTTCGAGTTGCTCCCAACTCATAGTGACCCTGTGGAGTCCCATGGACTGCCAAAAGGACAAACAGATCTGTCTTGGAAGAAGCACAACCAGGATGCTCCTTACAGGCAAGGATGGCAAGACTTTGTCTCACGTATTTTGGACATGTTATCGGGAGAGCCAGTCCCTGGAGAATGACACCGGGTTGGTAGGGCAGCCAAAAAAGAGGCAGGCTGTACCAGGGGGTTCAAACATCACCGTGGTGAGGATGGGGCAGCGCCAGGGAGGGGCTTGTTGAACGAACATTCAGAACGGACTTGACGGCACCTGGCAGCAACAATAACGACAAAAGCAGTCCATCATCGAAAGGCGCCGATAACCTTTCTCTTGAGGAGCAGGTGGTGTATTTGAAACACAGACCTTGCAGTTAGCAGCGCAGTGCTTACCGGACACCAGATACATGGAAACCTGATTCCAAAAGGTTTGCCTGCTTTGCGGACCTACACAGAGGGACCGGGACCCACACCTACTGGGCACTATGGGCCCAGTGGGACACAAACAGATTGCACTGTCCCTGATGGTTGCTATTGCCAGATGCCTGTGAGTTTCAATATACCTCAGGAAGCAGTGAGGCACACTCCTGCAAGCTTTGCGGGGGGCATCTAAAAATCTTGCTTCGTGCTTTTTAAAATTCCGTTTATTTGCTTGGTGAGGCTACGTCTATCCTTGTGGTTGTTGCTCCCCAACCCTCATGAAACAAACGCGCCTATTGAAAGTATAGAAAAGTCTAAAAAGAGATAAAAGACTATCAGGGAAACTCCTGGATTTTGTTGTAATGGCAAGGTTGACAAGCAGCCTCAGCTCTCTGAGGTTTATGTGATGAAAAGGTCCATTGTGAGAACAGCCTTTATCACACCATTCCCTGCTCTCTCCCACTTCTAAGTGGTATACCTTCAGGTTTGTTCCCGCCAAATTGAGTTGCTTCAAATATACATACCACAAGATCGGTGCTTGAAGATCCTTTTAATCTTTTCTCTACTGATGATTTAGTTTGAAGCAAGAAGTTCCCATGCTATAGTTCTTGGGTATACAATCAGGGAAGAAGTTATAAGAATGTAGTCTGAAGGTTCTGTGCCTGAATGGAAATCACCTACAGGCCCATGAGATACAGAGATAGGGCACTATTCTTTACTATCTCAACAGGAAGCCTGTGAATACATTCTATTCTCACTTTGTGGCAAAATGAACAAAAAGAGAGAAAAGATGAGAAACTGATTATCAAGAAAGGGAAGGCCCCTTCAAGGTAGATGAAGAGAAAATAGTTCCTGATACCAGTCTTGTCCAAACACCTGGGGCTTTTCAAAGTCCTACTGTCAATCTTGTAAGCTTCGATGTAGCTACACCCCTCTGGCTTCAGGATAAGCTAATCCGGTTAAAGACGTGCTTTGTAAGGGGAGGTTTACTACTTTAGCCACCAGCACTGAGCTGCAAGTACAACCCACACAGCTAAATAAGCAGTTATAGTAATAATTGTCAGGGGGGAAATTCCATTATCTTTTCATTCCATTTCTCCACAAAAATTTTGAAGCTCCCTTGTATTGTATCAGAAACATGCCTAAAAATTCAATCTGCAAGAACTCATTTCATTCTTCTAAAAGGCCTGCCATCCTATTATTACACTCATTTTACACATAAGGAGCTTGAGACACAGAGAGTAATCTAAAACAGTACAGACAGGTGGTGAATGGAGATGTCAGATAACCCTCCGGACCACTAATGCGAGGAACGGTACCAGGAGGGGAAAGAGGGGGGGGGGAGTGCCCCCCACCCCCCGAGAACAATAATTGACATATAACCCCTGCCCCAGGTGGACGTACAACAGAAAAGTGTGTGAAGGGAGCCAGAAGTCAGTGTAAGACATGAAAAAATAATAATTTATAAATTTATCAAGGGTTCATGAGAGAAAAAGTGGCAGAGGGGGGGCGGGGATGAGCCGATACCCAGGGCTCAAGTAAAAAGAAAATGTTTTGAGAATGATGATGGCAACATATGTACAAATGTCCTTGACACAATAGATGGATGAGTGGATGGGATTGTGATAAGAGCTGTAAGAATCCCCAACAAAATTATTTTTTGTCTAAATAATGCTCACTCGGATCATCAAGCTCTGCAATCCAGGATTCTAAATCTAAAACAGATGTATCTACTGCATAGAACAGCATT